AGAGAGAGAGAGAGAGAGAAAGAAAGAAAGAAAGAAAGAAAGAAAGAAAGAAAGAAAGAAAGAAAGAAAGAAAGAAAGAAAGAAAGAAAGAAAGAAAAAGGGGTCATCTGGTCTGCTAAAGCTCAATAAGAGTTACTATTTAAAAAAAGTTACTATAAAAAAGACTGGGTGCTGGAGAGATGGCTTAGCGGTTAAGAGCACTGGCTGCTCTTCCAGAGGACCCGGGTTCAATTCCCAGCACCCATATGGCAGCTCACAACTGTAACTCCAATTCCAGGGGACCCTCACACAAACATACAAACAAGCAAATCACCAATGCACATTAAATAAAAAATAAATCAATTATTTAAAAAAAATTGGCTCTACCAGGTAGCACATGCCTTTAATCCCAGCACTCAGAAGGCAGGGACAGGCAGATCTCGGTGGGTTCAAGGCCAGGCTGGTCTACAGAACTAATTCCAGTACAGCTAGGGCTGTTACACAGAGAAACTGTGTTTCAAAAACCAAAACAAACAAAACCAAGATTGGCTCTGTCATGGCGGTAATGGAGAATGAAAACTGCCGGCCCAGCCACGCCCACCAATGCAGGGCGTGTACCCACCAACCCCACAGCTCCCCAGAGCATTCTTGAGTGCGAGCAGCAGGAAATATTAGAAGGATTTAGATGGTGGAGATGAACAGATAGAAAATAAAGGATAGCCTCAAGAGGGCCTGGAACCTATTCCAACGGCCCCGATTGTCTCTGGCCCAGGGTTTTTATAGAGACACCAAGGGGTGGAGCAAAAGACCTCCTCCCCCAGCTTATCCAAGTGCAGGCCATCTCAGACACCTGCACTCAGGCCCGTGGTCCTGATCATCCTCTCTATTTGGACCTGCTGGGTAAAGCCACGAGGAACCTGAAAACGGGCTCCCACACACCAACTAGTCTAGACAAAGTAAGCTACCCTGTGAGTGTGGACTGACAGCCATCACCTTTGAATGTAAGTACAGTGTGTCACCTGGGATCAGGCAGGAGTATTAACCAGCAAGTAGCCATCTCAGAGAAAATGTGGGTCCACGGAGCCATGTGGGCCAGGCTTTCCACTGCAGTAATCAGCCCTCTACACCCCAGGATTCAACCAACTGTACATCAAAAAGAGCTAAAAAAATAAAAAAATAAAAAAAAAAGTTGTGTCTAGTGTGGTAACATAGACCTATAATATCAGGAGCTGGGAGCCAGACGCAGGAAGATCTGAGGTTCAAGTCATCCTGGGCCACCAGGGCCCCAAAAACAACAAAGAAAAAAAGTAAAAGCATTGTATCTATACTAAGCAAGTACAGATTTTCCTGATTTTTCCTAAGCAATGAAGTACAGACTGTACACATAGGCTCAATATTGTATTAGCTATCACAAGTGATTCAGAGATGAGCTGGGATATAAGAAGGCTGGGCAGAGAGATGACTTAGTGCTTTAGACCGCTTGCTGCTTTTCCAGAGGACTCAAGTGCG